TGTAAACAAGGCTGTTTCCAAGGCTTCCCAGGTTGTGAAAACTGGGCTAAGGTGGGCCAATGGATCTAGCCACCCGTCTGAAGCACAGCTGCCCGTAAACCATGAATGTTTGCTAGTTTCTCCCTTCCCCCTTCCCCTTCCCTTCTGCCCCCTACCTCTCCGGCCACAAAAAACAGCAGGGGAGTCTCTTCATCTTTGGCTTTGTATTGCGCGATGATCTTTTCGGCAATCGGCTGGATCAGCTGCTTCGCCGCTTCGGATTCTCCGTCGTCGTCGGAATCTGAACCACAGGGGGACACAAAAGGAGGAATGATGATCACGTGCACAAAGTGGGTACAGACTGGAAAAGGAGGGAGGGAGGGAGAGAGGAGGGGGAGAGAGGGAGAGGGAGGAAGAGAGAGAGAGAGCAAGAAGAGACAGAGACAAGAGATAGACAGATAAATAGATAGATAGAGAGAGAGAGAGAAGAGACAGAGAGAAGAGATAGACAGATAAATAGAGAGAGAGAGAGAGAGAGAGAGAAGAGAGAGAGACAAGAGATAGACAGATAAATAGATAGATAGATAGAGAGAGAGAGAAGACAGAGAAGAGACAGAGTCAAAGAGAAGAGAGAGAGAAAGAAGAGACAGACAAAAGAGAGAGACAGAGAGACGACAGAGAAGAGAGACAGAGACAGAAAGAAGAGAGACAAGAGAGATAGACAGAAAGAGAAGAAGACAGAGAGAAGAGAAAGAAGAGAGACAGAGAGAGAAGACAGAGAAAGAGAGAGAATAGACAGAAACAGAGAGAGAGAGAAAAAAGGAAAGAAAGAAGACAGAGAAGAGACAGAGAGAGAAGACAGGGTGATGAGACAGGAAAGAGAGAGAAGAGAGAAGATAGATGAAAGAGACAGAGAGATGAGAGAGAAAGAAGAGAGAGACAGCAGAAAGAGGGAAAGAGAAAGGAGAGGAGAGAGACAGAGAGAAGAGAGAGAAGAGACAGAGAAGAGATGAAAGAGACAGAGAAAAGAGACAGAGTAGAAAGAGGGGGGGGAGAGAGAGAGACAGAAAGAAGAGACAGACAAGAAGTAGACAGAGAGAGCAAGAGAGAGAAGAGACAGAGACAAGAGACAGAGAGAAGAGAGAAAAGAGACAGAGAGAAGAGAGAAGAGAGACAAGAGCGATAGACCGAGAGAGAAAAAGACAGAGAAAAAGAAAGAATAGACAGAGACAGAAACAGAGAGAGAAAGAAAGAAAGGAAGAAAAAGAAAGAAAGAAGACAGAGAAGAGACAGAGAGAGGAGACAGGGAGATGAGACAGGAAAGAGAGAGAAGAGAGAAGATAGATGAAAGAGACAGAGATGAGAGAGAGAGAGAGAAAGAAGAGAGCAGAAAGAGGGAAAGAGAAAGGAGAGGAGAGAGACAGAGAGAAGAGACAGAGACAAAAGAGAAGAGAGAGAAGAGACAGAGAGAGGAGAGATGAAAGAGACAGAGAAAAGAGACAGAGCAGAAAGAGAAACGAGAGGAGAGAGCCAGAGAGAAGAGAGAAAGAAGAGACAAAATAGAAGAGAGAGAGAAGACAGGAGAGAGAAGAGACAGAGAGAGGAGAGATGAAAGAGACAGAGCAGAAAGAGGGAGAGAAGCGAGGGGAGAGAGACAGGGAGAAGAGAGAGGCAGAGACAGAGAAGACAGAAAGAGACAGAGAGAAGAGAGAGAGAGGAGAAAGGGAGAGAGAAAAAAGAGACAGAGAGACAGAAACAGAGAGAAAGCGAGATAGCAAGAGAGAAAAGAGCGCAGGGGGGGGTAGAGGGTTGCCGTAAACACCTTACAAACAGTCCTCAAGTTATGACCACCATGGAGCCTGGCAATTATGGCCGCAAAGTGAGTTAGCACGCAACTCGATCCATTTTTATTACTTTTTTTTTGCATTCAGTCATAAAGCGAATGCCGCAGTCGTTAAGAGCATCCATTGTTGGTTACGGGTCAGTTTTCACCAGAACTGGAAGCCAACACCGAGTTTTGGGGAAAAGTCATAAGTTGGGGCCATGTGACTGCGAGCCGGTTACAGAAACCTCAAAATGTGGTCATGTGAGCACAGGGGTGAAAGGTGACATCCAAATTTCAAATCTGAGTTGTACGTCCCTGGGGTAGGGATGGGCAGGGGGGAACTTTGAACTGTTGCTAAGAGACTGGCCATAAGCCGAGGACTACGTGTGGAAGGATTTCCTCTCCATTTTAGGGTGACTGCTGAAAGTGGCAGAACACAAGTTTCTAGTCCTCATTCCTCTTTTCTGCTTCCGTTTGGATTCCTAGATTTTTCTTTTGCGAGGCCTTTGTTCCCTTTATTTTTTTAAGCGTTTCTCCCCATATTTTCCTCCTCCTCCTCCTCTCCACAAACCCCTCTCCCTTCTAACCCTGTTGACGTTACCTAGTTGGGTCGTGAAACGCCAGCAAGAAAACAACCAGGTTCATGGAGCTGCCAGGACCCCACAGTCCTCCTTTTCTTTCCTCTTTCTTCCTCCTCGTCCTCCCCTTCTCCTTCACTCCACAAACCTCACCCCCTTCTATCCCTGATGACGTTACCTAGTTGGGTCATGAAACGTCTGCAAGAAAACAGCCCAGCTCAGAGAGCGTCAAGGACCCCACAGTCCTCTTCCTCCTTCCTCCCTTGGCTGCTGCGCCAGCCGTAAGTGTGAAAAATGGCCATGTCACCTTTTTGGGGAGTGCCGTCGTAACTTTGAACGGTCACTAAATGAACTATTGTTCGTCGAGGATTATCTGTGGTCCATGAGAAGGTTGGCCCAATCAGCAAAAGCTCAGGAGGTTTGGAGACAGGAGTGATGAATTTTGGACATGCGGAGGGGGGCGGGAAGCTGTCTGCACCCCCCCTCCCCGAAATGAGCCGTGTTTAAATTTAAAGCCCAGAAGAGAATCTGCTGAGAACAACAATCCAAATTCCTCCCCGCTTCTTTCAGTGTTTGCATTAGGCCAGAAAACATTATTAATGGGATTAAATCTGTCCCCCCTACCCAAAGCCCCTTGGCTCAGGTCCAGCTCTGGAGGGGGGGGGGGCTTTGGGCTGACCTCTCCTGCGGGGCTCCCCACCGAGGGGGCAAACATCAACGGGGCGAGACCGATTAACAAAGGGCCCCCCACCCATGCGACGCTCTGCAGAGGGAGAGACAGGCAGCGGGGACGGCCCCCAGCCTCAAAAAGGAGCGTTTGCGACGGAGGGAGGGCGACGTGGGGAGGGGTGAGAAAGAGGGGAGACGGAGCAGGGAGGGAGGGAGGGGGCTTTTTCTGCCAGGATTCTGCACCTGAGAAGGGAGCAATTTAAGGGCAGGGGGGAACGCGGAGCCTGGAGCAAGGCCAATATACTATTTTTATTTTATTTATTATTTTATTTATTTTATTTATTNTCCGAGGTGGGTAAAATGAGGACCCGGATTGTTGTTGGGGGCAATATGCTGACTCTGTAAACCGCTTAGAGAGGGCTGAAAGCCCTATGAAGCGGTATCTAAGTCTAACTGCTATTGCTACTGCTATTGCTAATTCTGTTTTGGGAAGGAAGTCTTGAATCTGTAAAAGGGGATTTTTGAAAAGGAAGAAGGCAGCAACGGCAGACCCAACGGTGAAATTCGGCCACCCCTGGTTGGCTCCCCCCATATGCGCCTGTCCCTTCCGGCCGCTCGCCTCCCACCCCTTCCAGCCAGTGGTGGGTTGCTCTTCCCATTGCGAGCGGTTGTGGTCTGTGCACGCGCCTGATGTGTGCTGCGCACGCATGTGCAATCCACCACCCCTGCGACAACCAGCTGCTTGTTGGGGCTCGCGCAGGCACTGCACCCTATGTGCAGTGTGCCTTTTGGCATAAATACAGCTATAGAGCGCGAGTAGGCAGATGGGCTAAACGAGCCACCGTACCGGTATGCTCTCACTACCGGTATACCGTACCGGCAGCAACCCACCACTGCTTCCAGCCACTTGCCTCTTCTGGCCGTTTGCCCCGCCCACTCACTCCCGCCCTATATATGTTGCCTGCGCCACGCGGCCCAGTTAATCACCTCACCAGTCGCCTCGCCCGCGTGCCGCCCACTCACATTGGGGAAGGGGCTGGAGACGCGCCATTCCCCGAGGCCCCGGAGCCACTGCCCGCCTCGTTGGCCATGCCCACTCAGTCACATGACCACACCCACCAAGCCACGCCCACAGAACTGGTAGAGGGGGGGGAAATTGAATTTCACCACTGGGTGGACCTCTGAAGCAAATTACAGTGTATCGTGAGTTTATTAGAACCGTTTTTATTACAAAGATCCAATCACCATGTACAGTTTTTACAACTTCCACTTAGCCAGAAGAGGAGAAGACAACGCGTTAATTCCAATTTCCCCCAAATCAAAAATCACCAGTCTGTGGTAGAATTTTATCTACAAACTCTTCTACCAAGACGGGGAACAGAGGCAAAAAAAAAAAAGAGACATCTGGATTAAAAGAAAGAGGGAGAAACAATCTAAAAAGCATCCTGGATGTTACTTTCGAGTGGTGTTTTCCCCCCTGCCCCACTTGCTCTCTGTCTGCATTGGGACTACAGATCCCAGAATCCTTAGCAGTTGGAATGTTCACAGATGTTCCATAGCACCTTCTGGCTAAAGAAAAAAGAGAGGCTGATTTTAATTCATTGCTATAGTTATTACAATTAATGGCTTAGGGTGGTTAAGACTACGGCATTCAAAAAAATATCGGGTTTGCCCCGTGAGTTGGGGAGAGCAGGCGGGCCCGATTTCAGGAAAGTCACTGAAATAATGAAGTTTATCGTTGGCGTAGTTTTGATAAACGGCACGATCGAAGTAGGCATAGTCCCCGTCTAGTTAGAAACCTTTTGGCGTAGTTTTGATAAATGGCACGATTGAAATAAGCACAGTCCTTGCAAAGTCAGGTTGACCACCTGCCAGAAATCTACGACGGCTCATTTTAAATTTTCCATGGGGGCATTGGGTGCACGACACGACGACAACCCCTGCCTCCTTGTGCAAATGATACAATTAACACAATCGGCATTCTTTGTCTCGCTGCTTCGACCTTTCTATGCTGGGCGAAATAAATGAAGGGTTTCATTTTTCTTGTAAAAAACCGGCAGGCGGTTGGGGAAGAGGAAGAGGCAGGAACACCAAAGTTGCTCCCAGCTTGGAGCGTCACCTCTCAATCCATCCCAGCTATGAACTTAGTTAGAAACCTTTTGACGTAGCTTTGAGAAATGGCACGATTGAAATAGGCATCGGCTCCTGCAAAGTCAGGGCTATCACCTT